TCACCTTAAGTCTTATTTTGCCTGACAGAATTAGAGAACATAATTAAAGACAAAAGGAATTTCAAAACAATTGCCCAAAAGATTTATATAAATTGAAGGTATGATTTGGCATTAGCAAGGCCAAGAGTCTGTAGGTTATGAAGGACAACAATAGCGCCTTGAGTACAAAAGGAGGGAGTGGTATGTTGTATTCCATTGGATGGAAATAGCAAGTGAAAAACAAAGTAGATAAAACTAAATTTTTAGATCAGATTTAAAGCATATGTAAATACTCATGTTATTGTTTCTTAGAGACTCATATAGAGTTAAGGAAAACTCGATGTGGAAACAGGGTTGAAGAAGGAAACATTTTGAAAACAGTAGAAACTGAGGAGAGGTGGTCGTTGGGGAACGTGTGAAGAGCCGGTAGATTAGGGTCGACAATCCTGTGGTAATAATACAGTGCAGACACAAAGAGAGAGAGTAGTGATGTGCAATAAAGAATTTGACCTTGCCGGAAGAGAGGTCTGGCCTCTCCCCTCAGCTTCTGGGAGGTGATCTATGTCATACCTCATAAAAATGTCTTTGTTTAGGGTGGGGCTGGCCACACCCAATGGTCTTAGGCCTGCCAGAGAAACCAACTATGTGATTTAGGGTGAGGACTTCGAGTCACCTGGAAAATCAGTCCACCTCGAAGCTGAGGTTAACCGCCCAGGTTATTAGTCAATCATACCTATGTTAATGGAGCCTCATAAAAACTTGGAACACTGAGGCTTGGGCAAGCTCCCCTGGTTGGCAGTAGCCTGGACATATTGTCACACACTGGTACTGGGAGAGTAATGTGTCCTGCCTCCAGGGGGAGGACACCAGAAGCTAGGAGTTTGGAAGCCTCCTGGGCAGCATCTTATGTGCTTCTTCCCTTGGCTGATTTCAATTCATATCCTTTCCCTGTCATCAACTATAACTGAATCTAAGAGCTTTCATTGAGTTCTGTGAGTTCTTCTAGTGAATTATTGGTGGTTTTGGGACCCCCCCCTCCCCAACTTACAGTTGGTGTCAGAAGTGAGGGTGGTCTTACAGAGCACTATGCCCTTCAGTCTTTGCAGTTTGGCTAACTTGGCAACTGACCTAAGACTGTCAGGCTACAGCATTAACACCTAATGGCAAAATCTTAGAGCTGTAAGATTAATACAAAACTGCTTCAAAAGGATAACAGTTGCTGCCATTGTAATTTTGGCAATGTAAACAGTAGTATTTGTCATTAATTAGATCCTGTCCTTTAAACTATTAATTGATCCAATATATACAGTGGACATTATCATATTCATCCTTATAATGAGGATTCTAGGGGACACTTTTGCTCTATTGATATGCACTTCTGACTTCAGACTCAAGTTACATAGCTCAGAAGTTGCTTCAATACATAGGCAACTAAGAAATAGAACAAACTTGTTTTCTTAATTGTAGGGTGCTTTAGTTCTTTCTTTGCGTATTCTTTCCAGTATTGGTAAGTATTTCACAATACTGGATGATTATAGACTTTTTTTAAAAGGTCTGGTTAGTTACAATGTTGGAAAGATTTCAATATCATGATTATTTCCCAAATGGGTGTAACAACCTTGGCCTTAGTTGTTGACTGAGCCATGAGGTCTTTGTTTTTTAAAATTTTTAATTCTCTTCAGAAGTTCTCTGGTCCCTTTGGCTTCCAGTAAGGACATGATTTCTAGACCCAGTTGTTTCTGTTTCTTGTCTGACTCTATTCTGGTTGTCCAGTCTAAGTTTACTCAGTTTATCTGATAGTCAAAGGTAGGGGCTGAAGAAGATAAGGAGAGGAGTTTGTTTTCTTACAGAGGTACATATGTTTTTCTCAAATTAGGGTCATTTCTCTAAAACAATATCAATTTTAGGGAATGAATAAAATTCTGAGAAACCTCAAGAAAAAAAAACCCTTTTTTTCCTAGCAGCCCTAGCTTATTGGGAAACCTTTAAGCAATTTGTATCTTTTTTTTTTTTAATAATTTTATTTATTTATTTTTCCCCCAAAGCCCCAGTAGATAGTTGTATGTCATAGCCGCACATCCTTCTAGTTGCTGTATGTGGGACGCAGCCTCAGCATGGCCAGAGGAGCGGTGTGTCGGTGCGCGCCCGGGATCCAAACCCCAGCCTCCAGCAGCAGACCGCGCGCACTTAACAGCTAAGCCACGGGGCCGGCCCAAGCAATTTGTATCTATTTCAAAGAAAAGTACATAATCTTTTAAAAGAATGTACGTGCAAGTAATTTTTAAAGATAGCTCCCTGAATTGTTAAATATCATTTTAGGATATTTAAATCTTGATATGCCCCCTAAATAGCATGGTTTTTTTTTCCCTAATGTATTAGGAAAGAAATTGATAAAATTTGTAATACTTGTTATGAATAGCAAGTTAAGGTAAATTGATTATTTTCCTTTAATTCAGACTTTTATTTGTGGTTAATATTCTGAGGGAATAGTACTATTTTATTAATCTTGTAATAGGATTTCCTGTTATCCTTTATGCTTATTGGATGTCTTTTAATATCTGTTCTCACATTTAAAAAGAGGTTCAGGGATGAGATTACGGTCCTAAAGTTTAAGATCATTAGAGACTTGAATTACAGTTTTCTACACTTAAGAGTCCGAGTGTGTACGATTCAGGGGGTAAGTCTGGTGTAAGTGAAAGAGCTGAAATACTCACAGCTAATATTTGCACCTGGGAAAACAATGTATACAAGTGAGGGATGTAAACTAGAACTCCCAAGCTTTATTCAACAGAAGTCAACACAAAACTCAAAGATCTCAGTGCCATAATTATTGAAAGGCATTTCAGCTTTAGGAAATGAAGATGATGGATTAGGATGGAGGAGGATTAATCAATTAAACATAGAAAACTATATAAAAATCAGGAAGCATTTGCTTATGGGTTAGTAACTAATAATTTATAGTGCTCTTTTGCTCAAACCACTGAAAGATTTTATTAACATACATCACAATAATTTGACCTTGACAGGAAACAAATATGGTGTTATGGTGTTTTCTTCCCTGTATCTTTTTTCCATGCTCATTGGGAAAATGGAGGCTTTTAATCTAACAGTGGTTTTGAGCATGGACTTTTGAACCAGATTGTCTATTAAGTCCTGGCTTCACTACTTACTAGCTGTGGACTTTAGGCAAGATACTTTGCCTCTCTTCTCCTCAGTTTCCTCATCTGTAAAATGTGATAGTAATAGTATAATGATTAATAATAGTATACCTAACTCAGAGTTGTAAGGATTCAATGAGTTAATACATGTACAGCACTTAGAACTGCATCTCTCACTCACTGCTAAATAGCTGCAGAGGTCAGAATTTTGGAACTTTGACAAAGGGTACACTGTTCAAAAAAATGGAAATAATCAAAAAAGCAGTTACATTTATCAAGCATTGCCCTTTTTTAGAGATTGGTAGGAGTGGCATCCTGTGCAATTATTTTTTTAATAATTTAATTATTTTTTTAACTGCCCTTGCTTACAGAAAACTGATAATGAGACTCTTGAAAGCTTACAATCTCTACAACTTTTCCTATTAAGAGTGCTCCTTCAGAATGTTACATTTTTTAATTTGCCTGGAATCTGACTTTCTCTGTCCTGGTTTATATTGACCCTGCTGCTTTCGACAGCATGAGGCCAGGATGACTATGCAACAGCAAAGAAAGATGACAGAGGTACAAAGGCCCACAGGAACCAACCACGTCTCTGAAGTCACAGATGCCCCGTCAGGTGTTGCGTCTTCATTCCCAGATGTGTGGTTTCTGCTGTTGTACCCTTTGGTTTTGTTCAGTAGTTGTTTACTACTGTTGAGTTGGGATGGAATAGGCATATGAGAAAGTTTTGTGTCTATGGGCACAAAGAAAGGAGAAATAGTCTTGTTATCTGGATTGTTGATGACATCAGTACTGGATGGCACCATATTTACCTTTGTGGTAATGGAGTCATTCAGGGAAATGAATCTTGCCCAAGAATCTGTGGCTAATTTCTTGGAATACCTGATATTGTTTGTGTTTGCAACCAAATCTTGATATGTGGTTGATGATGGAGCCTCTATTGATGGTAGTATTTGGTTTATCATGGTGGTTTGCTGTTTATCTAAATTCATAGCTTTTAGAATCCTTAGTCTGTCCCATGTATTAGGTGAAGAACGGGTATTTAGATATGTGGGAAGTGATTGTTCGAAAACCAGCAAATCTGGATCTATACCTGAAAGATAAAAAAGCATCATTCAAATTTTATTTTTAATTTAAAAGAGAAGACCTTAAAGTACAGTTTGTAGAAGAAGTCTTGGGTTTTGCCGCTATGAGTTATTGAACTAAGCTAATTGCAAGTTCTACCACTGCATACTTCTGAAAGGACTAGAAATGTACTGGCCACATTTGAATTTATCTTAGCTTTCTAAGACACTTTCTTTTGTGAACAAATTTAGCTACCTCATGGAGAATACTTTGTGTCTGCCAGGGCTTTTGCGCAATGATAGCAAGTATTAATACAAGAGCTGCAGAGATAGTAACCATTTGAGATATACAGCATTTTAAAATAAACAAAATAGGGCCTGACAAGTGTAACTGTGTTCAAAATCATGAGCAAAGCCCTAAATCTCATCCCTTTCTGGTGCCTGAGGGTCCTGACATTGTCTTCAGTATTTTCTCTCTTCTTGTAAACTGACTCCTTTCCCTCTGACTTCAGACATGCACAAATATTGCTTTGTCTTTAAAGGGGAACAAAAAACTCAACAGCTTTCCAATTGTCCCTGATAGCATCACACTGTTTCTCTGTCTCTCTCTCTCCCTCCCTCCCCCTCCTGCCTTCCCTCCCTCCCACTCTCTCTCTCTCTCCAAACATAGCAATATCCATTTCTTTCATTTCCTTTCTTTGCTTTTTGCCTTCTGTCATCTTGTTTCCATCCTCACACTCCGTCAAAATTCTGCTTCTGAGGTAATCAGTAGTTTCCTTATTTCCTGATCTCATGTCTCATTGCTTTGCCTTCTCTCTTGTCCTTGATACTGCTGGCCATCCTCACTTTGAAATTCTTTTCCCATGACTCGCTGGACCCTGGACTTCCTTGGCACTTTATCCCAGACTGTCTGCCTCTCATCTTTTCTTTCTTTTGCTGGTTCTCTTCTTGGTTCAAACTGGTTGTGTGGTTTCCACCATCTTTAGTCCTTGGTGTTCTGCTGTATTTTCTCTTCATCTCACACTGTCCACCTCCAAAGAGATTATCCTTATCAGCTGTCACCACTACACTGATGGCACTGAAATCCACATTGCCAGTGCTTTCCTCTTTCTTGAGCTCTGATCTCATTTCTCCTGTGTTCTACTGGAGGTTCCCACCTGGACATCTCACGTCATCACTGAACATTCCCAAAGCCAAGACCATTTCATCTGCCTCTTTGTCTTCTTCAATGGCATCACCATTTTTCCAACTCCTGGGGTGGAATCTGTACCACAAAGTGATTTTTGACTCTTCTCTTCTTTTCCTTCATCCAAAAAGTAACTAAGTGTTATCCAATCCCTTCCCAGTATGCTGGTAACCATCCCTCCTCTTCGTTGCAACTATAATCACCTTGTCTAGACACAATGCCTCCCTTACTAGGTTTTCTAACCTGCATCCTGCATATAATTTTCCTAGACTAAGATAACCAGATACGTCACTTTAATAATGGCATTTTCTCAGTAAGTACCTTTGGTGGTTCCATATTTCTGACAAAGTCAAACCCAAACTACTCTGTCCAAAGCTCTTTTGTTGCCTGGCCTACCCTGTCTTACCCATGTTTTCATTGCAACCCCAAAAGTGCCCTTGTAGCCAGACCAGTTTTCTTATTTTCCCGTGGTGTGATACAGAACTCCTTATCTTGCCTCTACCTGGCCTCTTCCACGAAGCCACCTCTGAATAATCTTGCTTTCCTTAGTCTCCCCTTCTTTTGAGCCTTGTACTTGAAGCAGTCTCACACATTTTTGTATTTAATTATATGTCTTACACGAATTGTAAGACTTGTCACATCAGCTAGATTATAAGGAACTTGAAGGCAGAGAGATGCTGCAGCCTTCTGCAATGTTGAGCACAGCCAGGAGCATTAGGTGTTCAATAGGTACAAATCAATAAGAAATTTATCTCCTTGGTATATTGATGATAAAAATCTATTCTTTCATGTTTACTAATGTGCACCCTGAGATTATATACATGGGCAAAGGATATTTAAATATGTATTTTTCTAAAATAAAATATACTGGTTCTCTTGGGACCAATGATATGCTAATGTATGTCACTAAATGGTGGTGCATTTCCCTGTCCCTGACATTCATCTTTGTAGAATCTGTGTACACAGTGTCAACTCAAAACTGCCATTTAGCATTTTCTTTATTTCCTGGTAGCATCTTTAGCCACTGCAGTAGAAATGCCTACTTTGGCTCTTGCTGAAGGCACTTGGGATAAATGAAATATAATGCTTAAGCTGTTGTTCAATCACATATGATTTGTTATCATCTAGAATGAACTCTCATTGCTGAACATGCCAAGCTAAAAGAAATTTCCTTTTAGTTTTCTGTCCTGGATGCCCAAAACTTTTCCAGAGTTCACTGGAAAATAACGATTTAGGGATTCCTCCATGGCTATTGCCAGCCAGTTTCTAGGTTATATGCTTCTACTAGAATATTACCAACATTCTTCAGAATACATACAAAATACAGAAAGCATTACCGTCTGTTATGTTGTATAAAATGGCACTGGTTCCGGGCTCTAATATGCAGCTCTCCAGGGTCGGGCAGTGAATATGAAGGCAGTTCACATTGTCATGAATAGGATCGTGGTAGAAGACAGCCAGGTTACAGGAAACTGAAAGAGACGCAGGCAAAAAACATCCGCTGATGATCTTGATTTCTACCGGCTTGATGAGCTTGGAGTAACTTATCTTTCTTTCCAGAACACTGGATTAACAGTACATTGCAGGGCTGTGTTCAGACCTTTTACAGAACATTGTGCACTATGGTAACTGTATCTATGAATGTGCAAAATACTTTTTTTTTTTTTTTTGCAGGGAAAGATTTACCCTGAGCTAACATCTGTTGCCTATCTTCCTCTTTTTTTTTTCTCCCCAAAGCCCTGGTACATAGTTGTATATCCTAGTTGTAAGTCCTTCTAGTTCTGTGTGACCTGCCACCACAGCATGTCAACTGACAGGCGGGTGGTGTGGTTCTGCAACCGGGAAACGAACCCGGGCCACCAAAGCAGTGAGCGTGCCGAACTTTAACCACTAGACCATCAGGGCTGGCTCGAAAATGCCTTTTTAAAAGAAAATATCTACTGATTTTCTCTAAGTAATCTTTCACACATTCCATTCCACACAGGATTACCTGGAATCATTTCCCAATCCCAGTATTTTATGTTCATGAACAATTCAATTGGCTACACAAACCTCTGAGGATTTATATATATCAGATTTCTAGGTGTAATGCCCTCTCAGAATGCTAAGGTACTAGAGTTCACCAGAGAAAGAAACAGGAAAATAGGAGGACAAATGCTCTAACAGAAGAGGGAGCAACAAAGGGGGAAAGGGCAAAACCAGTCATGACTGCATTCCTGGGAGAGGCCCAGATGGTGGAAACACAACAGGCCAGGTGAACGTTACCTTGCCCCTGACTGCAGGTGTGCACTAGCTTCATGTTGCAAAACCACATCCAATGAAAAACCTAATCAGTGTCAGTCAAAGAGGAAGGAGGAGATAGGCAAGGATATCAGCATTTGGAATGCTAGTGGGCAGGGGTACATCACTGGCTCATGCTGTCTCACCTTTTCTAAGTAAGTTTGCTCCTTAAACTGTATCGTGTTATTTCCGGAAAACTTTAAGTCAGATTTGTTGAATGCAAATCTTCAATCTCTCCTTCCTAAAGTGCAACACATATTTTCCTCCTGCTGCAGTGTAGTAGGAACCACGACAGGAAATACCCATTAGCTAAAAGGTATCAACTTCTTTAATAAAATAAGATTACAGCGGGATAGCGTATGATTAGCAGCCCTCAGAGTGTGCTTAAAGCTGCTGTTGGAATTGCTGTTGGCAGAACCTATTGTGCTTCTGTGTAAGGTTAACTGAGGAGTTGCATCTCCCCCATGACTTCTGGGACACCCCACCCCTGCCATGTTTCTGCACTCTATTTTTCCGGTAGGAGAAAGAATAGGACAAAAGCCAATTAACAATACATTGCTAATACATTATAGCTTACAAATACATTCCCTGAGGACTGTGCTGTAAAGTTTAAGGGAAAGGAATAAATATTCAAACTTAGACGTCTAAATTTCTGATAAGAAAGTAGTTGATGCCATAGAAAACAACTTTTAAAGATGTTTTCCATTCCTTCTACTGTACATTTCAGAGTCCCAGCTCTGAGCAGGTTAGCTATTGCAGGATTGTGGCTTTTTTAAGTTCTGGCTTCCAGCTGAAAACTGGGATGTGTGTCCGTGAAACTTCCTTCTGGAGGAAGAAAACCACAACTTGGAAGCCACAGAGGCTCTAAAATCATGGAATTCTACTGGATGCCTATAGTATCCCTGGAAGTCCAGAGGCCACAGCTTCCCTGGTGTAGAGAGTCAGGTAAATTGATGCCTTGGGAAAATGCTGAAAAAGTATTGCCCCTCTGCCACCTCCCCTTAGTGAAGGCTTATGGTAATCAGAAGCACGTCTAAGATTTCCCTTTAATAAATTAATTGCTTTCTTCTGTGCCTGATTAACTTTTGAGGGCTTAGCCTGTGACAGCTTCTTACACTATGGTCTCTTGACAGTCAGTTTAGACTCTCCAAGTAGCTCCAATTTGCATCCCAGAAATCTTACGTGCATAATTGGATAGGAGGCATTGCCAATTAATAAGTCAGTGTGAAACCATGGAAAGAAAGTGTGGAACAACCAAGAGAATTATTTTAAAGTGTTGTGTTGCTTTTGTTGTTTCTTTCCAAGGAGCTTAAAAATCTTGGGAAAATGAAAAATAAATGAAGTCTTTAGACAATTGTAACTTGAAATTCTGCAACAATGAAATGTTTTTCTAATTACAGGCCTTGATCATATATATGGATGATGTTTAACCCTGATTCTGGATTTCGGACAAAAAAAAATCTGTTAGGATATTTTGAAAATTCTTCCTTCCTCCCTTCCTTCCTCCCTCCCTCCCTCTCTTCCTTCCTTCCTTCCTTTTCTCTCTCTTTCTTTTCTTTTTGCTATTTGACATATATCTCCCTTTCAAAACATCCATCAGAATCTAAATTCCTGTTCAGTACATCTCACATTTCATCAACACCAGCAGGCACATTTCAAAAATCTGAAATGATACCAATATCACCAAAAGAACTTTGAAAAGGAAATTATTATAAAAATTTTTGAAATCAAATATGCTATATTTGGGGCTATAGAAATACTGTTAGTTAACCCTTGAGGAAATATTTTCATTTAGCATTTAAGTAAAGACAAGAGGATTCCCTGTTACCTGTAGGTTCCATAGCATTCTGGGTCGTTACTAGATTTGTAATCCTAGCCTGCACTGAACCAAACTGCAAAGTCAGTCTCAATGTCTCTCCTCTCTCCCCGTCTCCCTCATCTCAGGGCATCTTCTCTAGTCCTTTTCAGCTGTTCACTGGACCCTCTGCCTTGGACTCCTTACTTAGGTCTTCATTTTGGAAGTTTCCTGTGATTTTTGCTCAGGCATATCATCAACACTTACCCTCCTTCCTAAGACAGCAGCTCCTACTGCATTTCTGGCCAGTGCTTTCAGAATAATACTTCAAGGACTGAGCTCCCAGCTTCTGCGACTCCTCCAGGTCAATTAAGAGACCTGGGAAGCGGCGGATCCAGCAGTCCCTGTAAAAAGTGGTGGGTGAGCAGAGCGAGTCTGTGGTCCACCCCATGCTTAGGAGCAATATCACGTCTGCTGCCACCACTGCCACATGCATCTCCCTGGTATGAAGACTCGGCAATAAGTCTGATTTCCAGACAGAAGCTAGAGCTGACCATCAGGGTTTAGGACATTTTCTGGAACTTCAGGGCTGTTGCTAAGGGAGAGCTTCCTTGGGACTCTTCTGGAGGGTCACCTTCTAGAAAAATGAGGCCATTCTTTGACTGCATATTGATTTTGCTTTTGTTTCTTTCCAGTTGAGCCCCAGGTGAACATTTGACTTGCTGGCGTTAATTCTGAACACTTTCCAGGCCATTTCAATGCTCTGTCCCGTAGCCTCTTGAAGATGTGGATTCTCTTCTCTGCTTTTCTTCTTTCTCTGAAAGTGAATAGTCACAGACACCTTTTACTAAGTAAATATAAAGACAAGTGGAGATCCTAGCCAAGAGTCTTTCTGAGGAAAACAATAGTTCAGTCACTTGACGTCAGATAAAGGAAGGATCCATTTCACCAGAAACAAGACGTTGCTTTGTAAGGGCATTTCTGCATGGTTTTTAAGGAACTTGTGACTAGTTTTTTTTCAATCATCTCTTTTTCCTTTGAATTTAAGTTCTAGTATTCAGGCTCACTAGAAAGCCAGTTTGTGCACTGGTTTAAATTTTTTGTTTTTACTAAAAAAAAAACCTTGAAAGTAAACGAAAACTGAAAATGAAATAAAAATGTAAATTTTGCAGTGATTTTGAAAACATTGAATATGGATCCTGGTCCTGTCTCAGGGCCAGGCATTTTTTGCAAAGGCCAGCCATAAGGTTTCTTAAAAGAAAACTAAAGATTCAGTCAAAAGAATATCCTTATAATATAGATGGGATACAATATCCATTAAGGTGTATATTGTTAAATCAAGAATAAAAAGTGTAATTTACATTGAAAATTGTGAGGAAGTTCAAATTGGGGGTTGTCTAATCTGTTTTGATATTCATGTTTGTGAGTTATAAACAGACGTCTTTGTAAAGTGCATACATAAAGGCATGATATCTCTGATTGAAGCAGAAGTAGTTGCTAAGAAATACACACTGGGAAAATGGTGGGGTGGCTTTAAATTTCTAAATATTAATAAAATTACTTCCATTGCAATGCCGAACATTTGAAAAGATATTAAAGGCAGTGAAAATGGCCTCTAACTTTTGTGAAGAGTGTGTGTTCCATATCCCGTGATATCCAAGATGACAAATTAGTTCAAAGCATAGAACTGTTGCTTTTTTGTATACATTTTTATACAAAGCATTAGTGGTAATCAGCTTTGGGCATAAAGTACTGTACTACTCTTTAAAAAAAAAAACAGATGAAACTTTTACTATCCTGTGATCTGTGTTTCTTTCATACCTTTTTGCACAATGACTCATTCAATGACTTGACAATAAATGTTAGCATTCTTTGAACTTTCATCTCTCCACTTGTTTCCTAATAGCCTAATTATCACATCTTTTGATTTTAAACACGTTATTAATAATCGATAATAAAGAGAAAATTATTCATAAGACTGAATAACTTTAAAAATAAAACATTTCACTTTCTTCCAAGCAAAAATTATGTCATGGATTAACTCCTAACCTTGCATAAACCACATAAAATACACTAAAAATGATAAATATTTTATTCTAATGAAATTCTTACAGAAAGCAAGTTTCAGTTACTTACCTGCAGACAATCTGACTGTTTCATCTGTTCTGAGGGGAGGAGGGAAGAGAAGTTTCCAAATGGCAAAGCAAGGGACAGATGAGGAACAAAAGTTACTCTCTGTTTTTCTATGAGATACTATAGCTGTTTCAATTAGTTCATGCTCTGGGGGCATAAACTAGAAAATGTACTTTCTAACCTTCTAACCTCCACGTCTTTCAGTCACATTAAATGCAGTTTCTTTTGTGTGAAATATAATTCCTTGAAGTTCTCATGTTCCCTGCAGGGATAATAGAACAATCTACAATTGTTTAATCCTTTTGCTGTCAAATGATGTTCAAGTGAAGAGCAAAGTTGCATTTTAAAGAATCTACAAGTTCCAATGTAAAAGCATGCTTTAAAATTCTTAAACAAATGTTTTGTTGATTGCATAAACATTGAGTCTGGAAATGAGTAACTTCTTGGAGCCAACCAAGTATTTTGAAAAGGAGAGATAGAAACTGGACTGCAGGGCCAGAGGGCGGAATCCACCATGGGCTGAGATTCATGGCCCAGAAGCATCTCATCTCAAAACTTGTTGACGTGAGATGAAATTGCAGAAATCAGAAAGTAGCTGCAACTCTGAATAAAAAATTGCTCTATAGCCTTTGTACAAATTTTATCAAATACCCAGAACCATGGCACTATTGCAATGCAGTGACATATTGTACTTATTTCCAATTGGGCCCTCTTGAGAGGGGTTCAAAAATTAGATTCCTACCTTAAAAACCACTCATGTCCCCAAGAGCCTGATTCGGTAGCTCTGTTTTTGTGAGAACCAGAATTCTTATTTTTATAAGTAAGTGCCCGAGGTGATTTCCTAAGATGTTTGGAAAACACTGATATAGGTGACTGAGATAAATGGAAGCTTCGCTTACATAAATATGTTCAACCTGAATTAAATAGAGCCGTTTTGAGAACTGTACTACTTTTAACTCATTTAAATGGCCCCATATGCTTTAACGAAAGGAAGATATTTTGGTTTTGCTTGTTAAAAAACAAAAAGAAGTAAAGTTGTTTTAGGAATATTAGAAGGACTAAAAAACAAAGATAAATAATTTTTAAGTGGTAGTGAAGTAATAGCATAGATTTACTAAATTAAAAAAAATCTGCAAAACAGTCAATATTTCATCCTTATTCTAAAGATGCTAATTGTATTATATACTTCACATTTTCATTTCATCAATTGATAAAATTGTTGGAAATTCTTTTTAAAAATGGGGCCTGAGAAATATATGTCATTAATTTTTCTTAAAATGTTTTGCTTTTATTAAATTGATAGACATTCACTTTAAAAATCCAAACCAGGGCCGGCTCCGTGGCTTAGCGGTTAAGTGCGCGCGCTCTGATGCTGGCGGCCCGGGTTCGGATCCCGGGCGCGCCCCGAGGCACCACTTCTCCGTCCAACCCGGGGCCGAGTCCCACGTACAGCAACTAGAAGGATGCGGACCTATGACGTACAACTATCTACTGGGGCTTTGGGGGGAAAAAATGAATAAATAAAATCTTAAAAAAAAAAAAAAAATCCAAACCATACAGAAAAGTACAAAAAGAAATAAAAACTATTCAAGATCTTATGATCTTCACATTTTGGTAAACACCCTTCTAGAAATCTCTAAAAAATACATACCTGTATACAATTTTACATAAATGGATTCACACTGTTCCAGAAACTGTTTTTTAAAAATCCAGTGTAAAATTATATTTTTCGGTGTCTCTAAAGAAAGTTGTCTCTACCTCAAAAGCTGTAAGGGCTCTAGGGTACTTCATTCTACATATGTACCCAAATTTATTCTGCACCTCAGCTTCCTCAGCTGTAAAATAGTATAATAGTAGTGTTGTCATCCACGGAAAGCACTTACAGCAGTGCCTGACAAGTAATAAACATTTATAAATATGTTAGCTACTGTTATTATACGTTATGTTTTCTAATTTTTTATTATTAAAGGCAACACTGTGATAAACATCTTGTACTTAGCTTTTTTCCATTCTAGGTCAAAAAGTATATTTTCCATAAATTCTTAAGTAGCCTAACTTTGTGTTTAACTATTAATTTAATCTTTTGTAAAACAGATCATGATGTAAAGTACTTGAAGTGAATTATAGTTACCACAAAGGCCAGTCTTTATCATTCAATGATCAGTCAATAACAGATCTATAAAAGCATGCCTCCAGCTATATATAAGTAATATTTTCATGACGCTTAGAAATACTATTTTAGGTCTTTTGTAAATAAAGAAGTTTATATTGCTTTGACTTTGCATTTCTAGCTTAACAGAAAGTTTACTGTGTGAGCTATTAAAATGATTTGATCTTTTAAGATGCTTCCAATCCTAAATGACGTTATTATCATGTGGGGGCCTAAAGCTTACAAGATTAGTGCCCAGTATTGTCAGACTAACAGCCCAGATGCCCTGTCCACGCTGATCTTGCTCAGATAATATTACTGTGCGTGAATTGCCTTTCTAATGCACATCAGTCTTTAAGCGTGATTTTTTTGGTCTGTTTTTAAAAGGCAAGAAAATACTAGTCTGAGGCATATCTGTGACTGTTAGGAAACAAAAGCATTCATTAGTGAAAGATTCTAAAGGAACGGAGGAGAGACTAAGAGCCTGTTCTTCTTGGCTGACCCACTGAATCTAGCATTGTTGCTGATGGAGACACAAATAAATCCCAGGTCCAAGTCCCTTTGATACAGGGGGCACCTCCTAGCACGAGTTCCCCCAGCTAAATGCCTAATACTGATTGTGGGGCACTTTACCTTCCCAAAGAGGTCGTTAAGTTCATGGTCACTCAACCCCCAAGAACCTTAGAATGTCTTGACTGCACTCTCATTCAAAGCGGAAGTGTGAGAGGTTCATGTGAGAATGGAATTTTTTCAGTAATGATTTAAAGGCCAGGTGAAACAAGGTGAAAAGCCAGAAGTTTTTCACAGAATCCAAGAAAATAACTGAAAGAGGCAAGTCATAGATCCGCCAGTATTTCCTTCACTTTTCCCTTCACTTTATTTAACAACTTGCCATTCAAAAAGAAAGCCGAAGGTTGTAATAATAAAAACAAAGTCCAAACATATTCTCCCCAGGTTGAGGTCTGTTATGGTTGGTTCTTGAATCTCGATCCCAGAAAGTTTTCAAGGGTTTTATGTAAGATAGGAGTGAACACACCCTCTGCTCCCTCCCAATCCTATCCCTCCTTCTACTCAAAGGTAACCTAACAATACCCTTCGTCCCTCATTTCTAGGATTAATTCATATCTCATGAGCAACACATGGTCCTTTGTATTATTTGGGATGAGCTTTCTGTTCGCAATGTTCACGAGAGAAGACGGGGAAGTGGTCCTTCC